TTAGATATATTATCTCCTTTAGTCTTCCTAACAACCCCATAAGTTACTATTATTATCCCCAGATAAACCAACAATGCAAGAAGAAAAATGCAATAAAACTATGATATACTGAGTTTACAGATGTTGCCTTCACTAAATAAGAACAGTGATGCTCCAAGAATATGAGTAATGATAGAAAAAGGGAAAAACTTTTAGCAATAAAAATGGATAGTCAATCATCTCCACAAATAGAAGGGTTAGAAGATAAAGTTGAGGAAATCTCCCCAAAATAAAATATATGGAAATAAAAAAGCAGGAATAAAGAGAGAAGAATATCAGTGAGAAAACCAATCTAGGAGGTAAGAAGCCATATCCAGGAGGTTCAACATCTCTCTTTCTGGAGTTCCTGAAAGAGAAAACAGAAAATTGTAGGAAGGAAAATACCCATAATACTGGAAAATATTCCAGATCCTCTAAACTCAGAACCCTACCCCCTCCCAAGTATGCAGCACAATGAATGAAAAAGATCCAGGCCAAGGCCATACATATGGGAAATTTCATACCACCACGTGCAAATTTTAAAGTAATTATCAAATCCTGCCCTCGGCTGGAAGGATTACTGGAATTCAGGGTGGAGCTGTGACTGCGTGTCAAGAGGTGCAGCCAGCCCAGTGAAAACTATAAGCTCTGAATAGTTCTCAAAGTGATTTCACATACACTATTTCATTTTTAAAACCACCTGAGGGTTTATACTGTCCCCATTTCAGATATGGGATAAACAGATACACTGAATAGAAAACCTAGAATGACATTTTTCAAACCTTCATAGATAACACAGTTCACTAATATTTAGGTGTGTGTTTCTGAACATATGTGAAGTGGACAAGTTATTTGGAAAGCATATTCGGTTTCCTGAACTACAGGATCAACTCTCAAGATACAGAGCATGGTTTCTAATTCTTTTCTAATAGACCAACTTTTTTTTTTTTTTTTTTTTGAAGCTGTTTCCAAATTTATTTTTGTTTTATTGCAAGAAAAAAAAATGCCTTGGTAATTGTGATCAATTTCTTGTCTGTAGTTTTTAATTGAAGTATAGTTGCCATACAATATAAATGTCAAAATACTATGTTGTATACCTGAAACTAATATGATATTGTATGTCTTCCAGGTCCATTAATGAACCACTTCCTTTGGGTAGATGTACACAGCTGACTGATATACTTCATTGGCAGGAGATGTGACAAGAAGGGCAGTGACTGTTTTGCAAACTTGTTTGCGTAAGTACCCTTGAGGTGCATTGAATACAATTGCCTTTTCTCATTGTGTGTTCATGTGGGCAAAGTTTTAAATCTTTATCATCTTCCGAGTCCTTCTGGTGGGTTTAAGCTTGAAATTCCCTTTCCATACATTAATTCTACAATTCTGCCAATAAACAAGATAGCATGAATTAAAAGAATCAACTGCATCAATGGGAGGGGGTGTTCAGTGGCTTTTTCCACAATGCCAAGAGGAGCCCAGTGGGGGAAACTGCCCAAGTGAAATTGTGTGGTCAGACGTTCTCTTTATCAAATCTTCCAGGTAGATATGGACAGAATGTAAACAAAAAGTTGAATGGCTAGTTCACCAAGATGGAGGGTTGCGGTGTCCAGACGTTGTTACAGCAGGACTGTTGTTATGAAGAGTTCTGTAGACTTAGCTGCTGCGAACTGTGCTAGGATCAGAAACACAAGCAGTCGGTGGTGGTACAACGCAGAAGCTGAAACCACACTCCAATTTTGCACAAAATTGCTAGTGGTGGCTCTTTTCCTTGCTTATGACTTTTCATTTAGACTGCGAGGATTACATTTAGTTGTGTGTCAAATAACATCTTGAAAGCAGACTGAAGAAAATCATTTTGCATTTGTACTAACCACTAGGCATTTGTACTAACCCACATATTGTCAGTAAAAATGTTTTCTAACATACTACTAGAGATACACTCTCCAGTATCAAGGTCAATAAAACCATGGGAGTGAAGAGTGGAAGGAACAGCCAAAGTGGCTCTGAAGAAGGACAAGAAAGGCCGAAAAGGAAGGAGGGGAATAAGACAAGAACAAGGAGGGGTAAGTTCTTACTTGGGAAAAAATTTTGGACTTACGTTTCTATGACTATCTTGATTAGTCTAGGAATTAACAGTATGTTAAAGAAAATGGTGAACTTATTATAAAGATAAGACCAATTACCAGCTGAATTGGGACAACATGCTACTGAGGATTGGCTACCAGTAGCTTAATGTCTGGCCTGCAGGCTGCATAAGGCCTGCAAAATCAATACTAGCTAACATCATACTCCTCACCAAATTAGCCTGACCAAATACAGCAGGCTAATTTTTAAGTTGATAATTTTGTATGGCCTGCGAATGATGTTATAAATATCCAAGTGGCCCTTGGCAGAAAAAGATTCCCCATTCGTACTAACCATTTTAGCTAAAGAAAAAGTGGACTAGACTTCCGGTCAAGACAGCGGGTAGGTAAATGCGGTATCGCGTCCTCCCACAACCACATCAAAGTTACAACTACAGAACAACCATCATTCAAAACCACCTGAAATCAAGCTGAATGGAGGTCCTACAACTACGGAATTAAAGCAGCAGCCACATCCAGACTGGTAGGAGGGGCGGAGGTGGACGGGCTGGTCCCACACCCACGTGTGGCGGATAAAAATCAGGAGGACACCTCTGCTGGGAAGGTCCTCCCTGAGGACTGAGGGGTCCCCATCCCACACCAGGCGCCCCGCTCAGGGTTCCAGTGCCAGGAAGAGAATCCCCATCACTTCTGGCTGGAAAAACCAGCAGGAACTAAGGCTCAGGGAAGCTGAGGAGGCTGGAGCCCCAGGCAGCTCCTTAAAGGGCCCGCGCACGGACTTACCGGACTCTCTCCCTCTAAGCTTGGAGGGGAGGCAGCTCGAGGGGCACCAGACACATACAGGGAAGAACTGAGCTGTTTGGCACTGGAGCGAGGGCTGGAGGCGGGGCTTTCTCCAGGACAAACTGTCAGAGGCCTTTGTTCCTTTGGTGAGCCCTTCCCTGGGGCGGCAGACAGTCGCCATATCTGGGACTCCAGCAACCTGGCTCACACTGGTAGCCCCGCCCTGGTGACTCCCTGAGGCCCCGCCCCACCCCACCCAACTTTCAGGCCCACCCAGGCTGTTGCCAGTTGCTTAACCATAGGATTGGCCTGTCTTGGATCCTGCTTCAGGTTTTCCTAAATTCTTTCAAACAAGCAGCATCTGGTCTCAGCGAGCCCCATACCTCTTGTTAAGTAATACACAGAAACAAACACAGGGAGGCAGCCAAAATGAGGAGACAAAGAAACAGGTCCTAAATGAAAGAACAGAACAAAACCCCAAGAAAAGAACTAAGCGAAATGGAGATAAGCAACCTAACAGATGCTGAGTTCAAAATACTGCTTATAAGGATGCTCAATGAACTTAGTGAGAACCTCAGTGAACTTAGTGAGGGCCTCAAGAGCATAAAAAAGGACCAGTCAGAAATCATGGATGCACAGTTAGAATTGAAGGAGGCATTAACTGAAATAAAGAATAATTTACACAGCTTCAATAGTAGAGTACGTAAATCCAAGGTGCAAACCATCAATTTGGAATATAAGGAAGCAAAAAATGCCCAATCAGAACAGCAAAAAGAACAAAGAATCCAAAAAAAATGACAAAAGTGTAAGGAGCCTCTGGGACAACTTCAGGCGTGCCAACATTCACATCTTGGGGGTGCCAGAAGGAGAAGAGCGAGAACAAGAAATCGAAAACCTGTTTGAAACAATAATGGCAGAAAACTTTCCTAACTTGGTGAGGGAAACAGACATACAAGTCCAGGAAGCACAGAGAGTCCCAAACAAGATGAACCCCAAGAGGCCCACACCAAGACACATCATCATCAAAATGCAAAAGGTTCAAGAAAAGAGAGAATCTTAAAAGCAGCAAGAGAAAGACAGCTAGTTACCTACAAGGGAGTTCCCATAAGGCTGTCAGCTGATTTCTCAAAAGAAACTTTGCAGGCCAGAAGGGAGTGGCAAGAAATATTCAGAGTGATGAAAAGCAAGAACCTACAACCAAGATTACTCTATCCTGCAAAGCTGTCATTTAGAATTGATGGCCATACAAAGACTCTCCCAGACAAGAAAAAGTTAAAGGAGTTCATCACCACCAAACCATTATTATATGAAATGATTAAGGGTCTTTTTGAAAAAAAAAGATAAAATATATGAACAAACAAAATGGCAATGAATGCATATCTATCAACAAGGGAATCTACAAACAAAATGAACAGGCAGAACAGAAACATTCTCATAGATACAGAGAACATTTTGTTGGTTGCCAGATGGAAGGGGGGTTGCAGGAATGGGTGAAAAAGGTGAAGGGATTAAGAAGTACAAATTCATTGCTAGACTGACAAACCTCAAAGGGAAAGGGGTTGGGGGGTGGGAAGAAATAAATCAAAGAACTTATATGCATAACCAATGGACACAGACAATAGTGTGGGAGAAGACAGGAGGGGGGCGAGAGTGGGGAGGAGGGGTCAATGGGGGGAAAATGAGGAACATCGTAATACATTCAACAATACAGATTTTTTTTAAAAAGTGAACTGAAATTCCAGTAAGAATTTCAAAGTGATATTTGCCTTTCATTGTTTATCTTCAAGTTCTTCAATAGTCACATAAAAGATACAACATTTCTTTTCTATAACAATTCTGACTTACCACTTGACACATAGTATAGATTCAAGATATAGTTGTAAAAAATTAATGAATGAGTAAGTGAATGAGCAAACAATGATCTTAGAAATATTGAGTTCTGCAAAAGCTTTGCTAGATCAAAGCAAACATTCATTTTAACCCATACCTTATTTTAAAGTTTGCATTTGGGTACAAGCAAAAATTTTGGAAAGATAGTTAAAATCTGATGTTTGTAGGGCATAGACTGTACACAAAGAGGATGACATTTTAATGTAATTTATTTGAAATTCTCCCAGAAAAAGTTAAGGCCATTATACAAAAACATTCATTTCATCAAAACATTCATTGACTTTCTTCTCATAGGTCAGCATTTGACAGACCTCTTTCCTCAATGCACTGGCCAAAGTGGCTGATGGCTCCTGCAAAGAATGATTTATTCTTTTCCCCACCATCAAACAAACTTTTTTCTGCTTCTATCTGCAGCAGGTTCATTCACTCACTAAATCAATAACAACTTGAGAAACAAAGCAGTTTTAAATAAACTGGTAATAGAAAAAAAATTCACCATGTTTAAGATCTATAAATACAGAAATATGTTTACAGGGTAAAATTGATCACAACATTTTTTATTTTTTAAAAATAAGTAATATACCTTGTTTTTATATTGATAAATCTTGTTGCACAGCTTCTCTGACTGCATAAGATAGATGAATGTAATAAAAGGACAACATAGTATTTACTGCTTTCTTTTCTGTAAACTTGAAAGACAAAGAAGATTAAAAAAACTTTTTTGGCAATAATTTAGCATCATTACTACTAGTGCTGGTGTGGGTATAATTTTGCACAGGTCATCCTTAATATTTACACTCACAGGGAGCTTTTCTGTGTATTCTGTTAACTTTTTTAAAGGTCTATGACCCACCCTGCACTGTAAATCAAGGCTGGACAAAGAGATACTAATTTGGCTACCTGATCCTAATTAATCATAGAGTTAAGTTGGCCTCTGGAGAATGATTCTGACCACAGCCCAGAGCCAGAGATGGCAAACTCAGGACACAAAAGCGGAGCAGGAAAACCGAGGCTCTAGCTGTTTCCAGAAGGGTATTGGACCTTGCTTTTCTCTTAATGTTTCTTGCATAAGGTCATGATGAAAGTACTTCTTCCAAATTATTCTTCTCACATGTTTCTATAAAACAGAGTTACTGACTCAGTTTCAGTCATTTTCCTCATCTCTTTATTCATGCTCTAAAATAGGAGTAGGCCTTGGCAGATGAAACACAATGAAGATGGGCTTTCTTGTTACCCTGCCAGGTTTCCCCAGGCCCCTTGAGCTCTAGTCTGATGTTTTAGGCTAGAAGTGGCTAAGGCAAGCCAGCAACTATGACGGAGACCCCGGGTGCGATGCACAGTGCCGTTCAAGATTTAGAGCTGACAGCTGCTTTTGCGCTGGTCCTTTTAAGAGCAGACTCTATTTCATGTCCTGATAGATTACTGCATCAAATTTGCACTGATGACATTACAAGGTCAAGAGGGTGCTTATTCCTTTGCAAAAGTAAGCCCCCAGAACCTCCAGGGATATTGACAGGCTTTCTGGTCCAAGTTCACTGGTTTCCTTCACGGTGCACAAGTGACTTCCTCATGACCTGCGTGCAAGGGCCCCTAAATTCTGTGCCTCCGTGACCACATCAAGGAGCTAGAAATGCACTAGAAAACATGGAAGGACTCTTTAAGAATCTACATGAAACAGTAGTTTAGAGAGTCTTTTTTTAAAATCCAGCAGGACATTTGGAAATAACTTGTTCAAGTACCTCTTCATCCATCCAGACACTTGTGAAATACAATACAGGAGAACAGTTGCCACAGACTCCAGCGTACACAGACAGACTGGCAGTCACAGTATTAGGGACAAAGGTACAGAAATGAGAGACTGGGTCTACACGGTCACAAAAGTATTAAAAAGTGCTTCTCCAAACCGTTCCATGAGTGGAATGCAAATACTGTACAGGTAAGACACAGGGCTACTTCCAGGAAGTACTTGCTTCTGTCAGACGTTGCTTTCAATGTGCCTGCTGTTCCCACAGGAAGAGTCTGTCTGTTCCATGCGCTCACAGTCGAGGCTGACCTCGCTTGTGTCCATACTACAGTCTGATTCACTGTCCGATTGGTCCATCTGCTCAAGTTTTGTTTCTCCCTGTGGCTCCCTGCTCCCGGTGGCGGGATTTAGGAACGGTCCCTCGGAGTCAAGCACCCCAGCCTGTCCAGCAGCACACAGAACTGTTTCTTTGGCTTGACGAATACAGTTGAGCCACTGCTGTTTGTTGAAGGTGTCATTGGCTTGTAGTGAGTGGGTCTGACTTTGGGATCCATTTTTGAAACTTACTCTAAAGAAGTTTTTAACTAGGAATGAAAGACACATGAAAAAAAGGTCAATGGACAGATAATCCCCCAGGCCAAATATAACACATGTAGTGACACTAACGCCTAGTACCCATGGCACAGACATCACCAACTGATTAAAAATGTGTCCCAGGACATGGCTCAGCAATACCCTGCAGCCACCATCAATCAAGCAGAGGTTTTGCTCTCAGTTGCCCTCAGAAGCTAGCAAATGGGCATCAGCCTGGAAAAACAAAATTATGTTTCAGGGGACCCCAGAGTACAGGCTACTCAACCTGGCTGCATATCAAAATGCCCTGGGGAGCTTATAAAAATAAAGATGCCTCCTGGCTGATGTAGCTCAGTACACAAAGCACTGGCCTGTGCACTGAAGGGTTGCATGGTTGATTCCTGGTCTAGGGCACAAAGCTGGGTTGCAGATTCCATCCCTAGCCCTGATCAGCATGTGCGGGAGGTGACCAATTGATGCGTCTCTCTCACATCAACGTTTCTCTCTCTCTCCCCTTCCCTCCCTTCCACTCTAAAATTCAATAGAAAAAATATTCTCGTGTGAAGATTAACAAAAAAAATATATGCCTGCGCCCTACCCTTAGAGATTTGGATTCACTAGGTCTAAGGTGTGCCCGATAGTCTGTCATTTCAACAATTTCCTCAACGCTAAAGATTTTTTCAAGTTATGCCCATGGCCCCTAAATGATGGTACCTTCTCGTTTAATATCCAGTGATTGAGAAGATATATAATGACAAAGAGCTGTTATAAATTTGGTTTCACTAAAAAATGAAATTACATTTTAATGACCTCAGCGGGAATTATGTGCATTTAAAAAACACTGGTGCACAATATGAAAGACATTTTATTTAGTTTAATAACAATATCATCAACTGGCATTTAATGGGCTCCACATGCCATGTGCAATGTTTGGTTCACAGAAGCATCTGCTCCAGTCAGTTCCCTTGCATGATCGCTGTAGTCAAGACTGGGAACCACCACTTCAGATAAATTCAGGTTCCACTCTTTGTTCTTGGGCAAGCACCTTAATTCCTCTGTCTCAGTTTCCTTATTTGTAAAATGGGGGAAACAAAGCGAATCTCTTATAAGGTCATTATGAGGAATAAATGTGATAATATACATAAGTCCCTACACAATGCCTAGCACATAGGTGGTATTTAAGAAATACAAGTTACTACCACTACTACCATCACTGGTGTGGAGGACTGATGAGTAGGTAAGAGGTAGTACATATTAATTACTTTGACAATATGATGCTAATGTTAACCCAAAGTCTTAAATGTCACTTTCCCAAAGAAGACTTCCCTGACCACTTCATTGAAAAGAGATCGCCCACTGCTAGCCTCATCTATCCCCTTACTTGATTTTCGTTTCCTTAACAGCACCCAGAATATTTATGTTTTCTTATCTATCTTCTCCATTACAATATAAGCTCCACAGAGGCAAGGAATTTGTTTGGTTCACCAATGTGTACTAGAGCCTAGAACAGTGTTTGACAGCAGATAATCGGTAGACATTGGTATCTTAGCTTCTCTTGGTTAACTCCTTTGTTTGTTCAGTCTCAAGTTAGAGAAGCCCATTCGAGTAAGTACACACAAACCCGCAACCCAACTGACAATTCTTATGTCTCTTTAGAGACAAGTCTGCCAGCTCAACTACAAAAGGCAGTTTTGCAACTGGTATCTACTAGGGACCATCTGGTAGGAAGTATTTTCATACAACAGAAAGATACAGAGAAAGGGAGCTTAAGCAGCACCAGTTCTGTGCAGGCAGGTTCCCTTGCAGTATCTTACTTAATCCTTATAACAAACCTTATGGAGTAGGTATGCATGCATCCCCACTTTGCAGATGAAAAACTGAGGCTTGCAGAGATTGAACAAAGCTGCACAATCAGTGAGCAATGAGATAGCTCTGGGATGCCATTTGACTCCAAGGCCATGGCTCTCCTCTTTTTACCAGCCAGCCACTCCCTCTGAACCACCACTGCCACTAACCACTCAACAGGTCCAAACAAACTGTAATCCATACTTCTCTCGTTGTTGCTGAATGCCCCTCGCAGGGAGCCGCCCAGCCTCACTTCTCCATCCTGCAGGTCTTCCAGCAGGAGGTCCTTCACGGGAATCGGCTGCCGGTACAACTGGTAGCAGAGCTGCTCGTTGTGGGTGATGGCTCGAGTGATCACAAGCACTTCTTGGAAGAGGAAAACGTGCAGTTTCTAGAAGAGAAGATCCACAGGATTCCCCTAAGTAACAATCTAACAAGTAGTTGCTTACTGTACTAAGAGGTCTGCAGGTACCAAGTTCACACTGGATTATACGCTTCTAGGTTCAAATCAACCTCCAGGTGAGCAGCAGTCGGCAGGTCTGTCATTTCCAGATGAACCACTGCCTTTCTTATAGGAGCGTCTCCCTAGGGCCTGGTGGAGAAGGCCTTTCTGCCTAAGACACCAGCAGCCAGGACTGCCTTCACTTTGTAGTTCAGAACCTGGGCAAGACACACGGCTCCAGTGCCCATAAAAAAAAAAAAAAAAAAAAAAATGAAAAAGGGGAACAGAATAAAGGGGGTATTGAGGGAGGGCTTAGTACCTCCCTGGCTTTGGTTTATATTACCCAGTATAATTCTAAGAGATCAAAATGAACAATAGTCTATAAAGGATGAGACTGGTATATCAAAGGCTAATATTAATCTTCATTTCCCAAACTCAAAAAAACACTTGTTACTTCAACCACAAAGCTGATTATCAGCTTCATCCAGACACGCCAGCTCGGAACACTGCCCATTCCTGAGGAAACCAGAGCATGCTGCCGCAGCCACAAAGAAGAAAGATCAAAGAGGTGTCCTTCTCAGTTAAGTTCACCAGAACCCCAGTTCTCTGAAGAGGTTGTGCTTAAAAGGCTGACGACTGATGTGTATGTTGTGGGCAAAGAGAAAATCTCAAAAATAAAGGCTTGTGTCAAACCACATCATGAAAGCAATTTTGCCGAGTGGAGAGGGGGTAACTGGCTCCATTCAATTCCATGTGCCAGAATCTTCTCACTGTTTGTAAGTGTTTAGGAACTGAAGGGAAAAGATCCACAACTTTGTGGCTGGGTTCTGGTTTTCTAGTGGGAATATTTAGGATTGTCAACCTAGGGTTCAAGAAGAGGAAACCAGAAGAATAGGGGTAGAAACTCAGACTGGAATTTTTCTTGTGGTTGTTATAGAATAGTATGTATTTTTCTCTCACTTCTTGAGCCAGTTTTTCAAATTTATTGGCATAAACTTGTTCCTGGTAATATCTTATTATTTTCTTTTTCTTTTTTTTAAATCCTCACCCGAGGATATTTTTCCATCTTTTGTTCAGGTAGAGTGGGAGGGAGAGAGAGGAACAGAGAGAGAGAGAGAAACATTGACGTGAAAGGGACACATCGAGTGGCTGCCACGCGCACAACCGACCAGGGCCGGGGACAAACTGCAACTGAGGTACGTGCCCTTAGCGGGAACCGAACCCTGGTCTCTCAGGACCGCAGGCCGATGCTCTAACCGCTGAGCCAAACCGGCCAGGGCTATTTTCTTTTTCTTTATTTTTTTGTACAGGCCCCTAGCGGAAACTGAACCCGGGATTCTCTAATCCGCAGGCCGATGCTCCAACTGCTGAGCCAAACTGGCCAGGCTAATTTCTTTTTTATTAAGGTGTAGTTGACATGCAAAATTACACTTGCTTTAGGTTTATAACATAGTGATTTGACATTTATATACCTGATAAAGTGATTACTGCGTTAAGTCTAGTAACCATCTGTCATCATACAAAATTATTATGATATCATTGACTATATTCCTTGTGCTATACATTACATACTGTTAATTAATTTATAACTGGAATTTTGTACTTCTTATTTCCCTTCACCTTTTCCACCCATCTAGAATCTTGATTTGGGGTAGAGGAAGCACGTTCAGCATTATCAGATAATTTTATATTTGGGAGAAATGAGACCTACCCCCACCCTGCCACAGACATACAGACACAGACACACACACATATGCACACCAAAAACTGCAGAAACTAAAGCTCAACCCATGATGGCTGGTGGAAACACAAATAATTCTGTATTGGGGCAGGGGTTGAGGAGTGAAATTTTATGTTTATCAAAATGATTAAATATGCATTTAAAAGAATTGAAAAACACAGTAAAGCACAAAATAACCAAGTTAAGGCCTTTTTTTAGGGGCATGATGGTACAAAGAATGTGTTAAAACTTTTTTGGGAGGGGCAAGGGAGAGAAGGGGTTGGTCATTGTACACACTAAACATCAGAGATATTGACACTGTTTCTACTTCAATCAATCTAGCCAAGGTAGGCAGTTTGAACGCAGATTACCTGGGAAATCTTTAAAAAAAATTTTTTTATTGTTGACACTATTCAGATGTCTCCCCCACCCTTGACCACCTCCACCCAGCCCCTACACCCCCTCCCCTGGCCTTCACCATACATGTCTGTGTCCACAGGCTATGCATATATGTTCTTTGGCTAATCTCTTCGCCTTCTTTTCTCCAGTTCCTTCTCCCTACCCTGCTCCCTCTGACATCTGTCAGTATGTTCCATGTCTCCATGCTTCTGGTTCTATTTTGTTCATCAGTTTATTTTGTTCATTAGATTCCATATGTGAGACCATATGGTATTTGTCTTCCTCTGACTTGTTTACATCACTTAGCATAATAATCTCTAGGTCTATCCATGCTGTTGCAAAGGGTAAGAGAGCCTTCTTTTTTACAGCTGTGTAGTATTCCATTGTGTAAATGTACCACAGCTTTTTAATCCACTCATCTACTGATGGGCACTTGGGCTGGTTCCAGATCTTAACTACTGTAAATAGTGCTGCTATGAACATAGGGGTGTATATATTCTTTCTGATTGGTGATTTAGCATTCTTAGGATATATTCCCAGAAGTGGGATCTCTGAGTCAAAAGGAAACTCCATACTGTATCTGGGAAATCTTTAATAAGGTTTATAATCCCTTACTTATGGATGTTCATTGAGGATTCCTGTTCTTAATTTTCTTGCTTCTTTTTGCCCTCAACTATTGAGCTCTTTCCTGACACACGACTTTGTTTATAATGACTTCTACAATTCTACTGGGGGAAAAAAATAAAAACTAAAACAAACCTCCCATCTCTACTACTACCTCTGTTCTCAAAAATCTGTCTGCCTGCCATATGAACTAGAGTTAACCTTTAATGCCCTGCACCTGTCCAACTAGAGCCTCAGTCCTTGACAGATGGACAGAAAGAGAATAGGCCCTCATCCCATGGAGCAATGTATCTTCCCGACAATTTCCCACAGGGCTTCTGAGAAAGAATGGTCAAAGAGCCAGAGCATCCAGTGTTAGAAGTCCACCAGTGCTTTCTGAAGGTAAGCAAGAAGCAAAATGCAGCTTTCTAGCAATCGGTCACTCCTTAGTTAAAGAGAAACACTTTTCAAGCAGTGGCCTGTGAGAGGTCTCATTACCGCCAATGCATGTCAGCTGGTTGGATCCAGCAGCACTGATAATGGATGCTATGACATGTACTCAAAGATTTCAAGTAACATTTCAAGCTTACTCTTAAATGCCACTTCACAGTTCAGGTCAAAATGATATCCTTTGGACCATCATAGCTTTCTTAAGAACTCTTCAATATAGTTTTGGCTTTCATTCCAAGATATTGAAGATTAAATACAATCAAAGTAGAGACTCTTTTGCAACACTGAATTTAAATATATAGTATAAATAAAATGTATATATTATATACAAATATATTTTATATTATAACATAAAAATTATAACATATCGCATACATATTAGCATTAATTAGCCTGGTCAGTTGAATGAACTTTGAACTCTCATATAATTCAAATCCTTTTTTTTTAGAGAGAGTGGAAAGGAGGGAGGGAAAAAGAGGGGGAGAGAGAGGAGACATTGATGTCGGAGACACATCGATTGGTTGCCTCCCACATATATCCTGACCAGGGCTGGGGATTGAACCTGCAACCCAGGTATGTGCTCTTGACCAGGAATCAAACCCGTGACCCTTCAGTGAGAAGGCCTACGCTCTAACCACTGAGCCACCAGCCAGGGCAAATCCATTCTTTCTTTATACAAGCATTCCCTCATTCATACATTCATTCACTCACTCATTCACTCAACATCACTGAGTGTCTCTGCATGTGACAGGTCCCCATAATAAGTACTGGGAATTGACAAGGCACAGTCTCCTCTCTAAAGGAGTAGGACACAGTGGAAGATACTGATAGGGAGACGGAGAACTGCAACCCATTGCAGTAAGCACAACGCGGGAGATCTGTCCAAGGAGAGGAAGAACAATTTCAATATCTACTCATGAATGAAAGCCAGGGAATCGGGTATCTACAGGTCAGAGGTAGATATACAGCTAGTGAAATGTAGGTTATTATTAAAAAAAACAAAACACTAGTCTCAAAGTGTCAGTCTGTAGATGGGTACCAATCCACAAGAAAGAAAAGAGTTTCTCACAAAGCTAAATACATTCAATTTAAGAGCTGTTTCTCTGAGGTTGCCTGTTGTTTCCTGTATCAAAGTGAGCGGAGATAACTGTTCTGTGTTTGCTTTTGAAGGTTATGATCAAACAAAATATAAATTGGCAACTCTGTGTTGGTTACCAAAATTCTTTCTGACTATGTATTGGTCATACAATTTTTAAAAATTATATAGCAAATGCATAAATTATAAACATGTATTTATAATATATATTACTTATATATATAATATATAAATGTATAAGAAATGCATATAATTATACATACCCATATATGTGGGAATCTGATATAAAAGACATGGGAAAAGCCTTTTTTTTTTTTAATCCTCACCCGAGGATATTTTTCCATTTTGTTCAGATAGAGTGGGAGGAAGAGAGAGGGAGAAAGAGAGACACACTGACTGGTTGCCTCCCGCAAGACCCCGACCAGGGCTGGGGATGAACCGTAACTGAGGTACATGCCCTTGACCGGAATTGAACCTGTGACTCATTGATCCACAGGCTGATGCTCTAACTGCTGAGCCAAACCAGCCAGGGCAGGGAAAAGCCATTTTTTTGTCTAAGAAATGTGACCCCGGGTAGGGAAGGTATAGTAACAGAAGGCTCAGCATCAAATGGATTAAGTGTTGCGGGAGGCCCAGGATGAGACCAGAGAAGGGGAGTAACCACTTACCACACCCCGGTTGTTCTTCAGTTCGCCATGACAACATAGCACTCTTGAACTGTCGATCAAGGAGTCCTTCTGGCCCTCTTCCAAGTAAAGAAGTCGTTCTTTATAATAACGGCATTCAGATTCCCCCGTCTTGATGTTGATTTCTGCTACGATTCCCTGAATGATGTTTATCTATGGAAACAAAGAAGTATAGTGAATGTAAGCAAGCCAATCACACCAACGAGTCCCAGGGGCTCAGTCTAGAATGCCACCAAGATAAACCTGGATCTAATTCTGAGATTCTGTTATCTATGTTGCAGCTTTGGGAAAAGAAAAAGTAAATAAATGCTTTTAATATACTATATTTATCTGTCTATCCATCCATCCATACACACACATATAGATACACATATAGACACATATATTTATTTGTACACACACACGTGTGTGTGTATGTATAAATATATACATATTTATCCTCACCCAAGGATATTTTCCATTTATCTTCAGATAGAGTGGGGTGGGGGGGGATGGAGAGAAACATTGATGTGAGAGAGACACATCAACCAGCTGCTTCCCACATGACCCTGACCAGGGCCAGGGACGAACCACAACAGAGGTATGTGCCCTTGACTGTAATAAAACCTGCGACTCATTAGTATGCGGGCTGATGCTCTAACCGCTGAACAAAACGGGCCAGGGCAATATTTGTATTATATATAAAACAAATGCTGATGAATAATTTTATCTGAGAAGATCAAAGGTACCATTTTTGACGTGCAGGACTCGTAGCTACTATGCTCCACGTACATTTAAAAAAACTATACACACTCATGCCCATGCCAACAGTACAAGTGAACAAGTTAGGGGTGGACGGATATCAAAGCAGTGGTGGATGCAATGTTGTTACTGTAAAATGAAGCAACACAAAAGCAGTACAGCACTGAGACATGATCGGTGGGCATTTATTCTGATGTGCTGTTCTATCACATACATACATCTAAAAGTTAGAAAATACTAGAAAACGAAAGAACAAGAAATCTGTTGAGTAAAACCTCCTGAGATGTCGATCAATGACAAAGTAATTACTTCCTCAGCGAGGTCCTCTGTCCCCTAATAGTGAAAAGACCACAGGTCCCATCTTCTTTGTGTTGGAATCAACTGAGAAGAACTTAAACAGATGAGAAATGTTAAGAAGGCCTCTTCCTGGTCACATTCACTTAATGAAAAAAAAAAACCAACCAATCTGAAAAGCAAGGTTTATTTATTTATTTATTTTTTTATTTTTATTTTTTTATCCTCACCTGAGGACGTTTTTCCATTTTTTGTTCAGATAGAGTGGGAGGGAGAGAGAGGAAGAGAGAGAGAGAGAAACATTGATGCGAAGGGACACATCGAGTGGCTGCCACCCGCACGACCAACCAGGGTCAGGGACAAACTGTAACCGAGGTACATGCCCTTAGCGGGAACCGAACCTGGGTCTCTGTACCACAGGTCGACGTTCCAACTGCTGAGCCAAACCGGCCAGGGCTGAAAAGCAAGGTTTTAAAAGAGAATCCTACTCAGTAAAAAGTTACCAGGTCTTGTAATGTGTTAAAGCGGTAGTGAATTATCTCTAAGATTGTTAAGTGCTTACTTTTCACATGCTAGTGAAATGACCTTCTGCTCAGAGCAACTGGATAAAAACTTCTACCAGTTGTAACCTTGGAACTTCCACAGAAGTTTTACAGAAGATTTACCGACCTGAGCTAAAGCCCGGAGACGGTATCCTATGAACAGATGCATAATCTGCGCACTTTTGTGGCTATTAAGAATTTCAAAGATCATTTATTTACTCTTTTCTCTATTTCTCAATATGCTAGTAGCATTACTTCAATAATTAAAAACATTATTTTTATAAATACAGGTTCAATGTGCCAAGAAAGAATCTTTTTGGCCTTTGATGGCAACCTAATGTTAACTATAAATCCTGTGAAATTAATCTGTTATTTTAACATTTTTTATTTTTATTGAATTTATTGGGGTAACATTAATAAAATTTTATAGGTTTCAGGTGTACAATTCTATAATACATCATTTTTAATCTGAAGTTTATTAACACAAAATAAATAATAATAGAATGCTTTGGTATACAAACTTTATCTTTCTTTTTTTCCCCCTTCTTGGTTTTCAAAGATGACTGATTATTTACCATTACTTTGAAAAACAAACAAAAAAAGGAATCGCACAAAATATGCTAAGCTATGATTCATCCTTCAACTTAATTAAACTAATGTTAGTTGAGCATCTGTTCATTGTTAAACTAAGTGGTGCCATTCACAGAAATGAGAGGGTCTCTATACTCAGGAAGTTTAAAATATGTGAGAGGTATCTGAGCAATTGCTTCATGCCTACCTTATCCTTTTCCTTTACTACATTTTTAATATGTTGTAAAATTCCTATTTTTCCTTGCTTTTAAAGATCTTAGCATTGATTACTGACTCATCTATAAGTTAATTATTACTAGATGTACCTGGGAAACTAAACCAGTATTTGAGTCAATTTTCTGAGTTTCCTGCAAGTATCCAGGAAGCCAGAAAGAATATGTGCTACGGACATGAAGCTGTGTTCACTTCCTAATTTAACTCAGGAACAGAGCTGGCATATCACATGAAGATTGACAAACTCAAACACTACAGGTTCCTCCTCAGGAAGCTATGACTACTTTCAAATGGTGCTTCTTTCTCTAGTGTTTGAAAAAGTATAAAGAGACAAAAACAATGGAAACCATCAGTGTTATTCCATATTCTATGTATACATTTATAATAGAACTCTGGGTCTGCTTTATTAAAAAAATTATTTTGAATTTAATCTCTCTGCACTGGTTCCTGAGAGGAATTTATTTTGCAGAATTTCAATGCAGAATAGAGTAAATATAGCAGATTGCCAATAGCAAACAGTCATGATAGTTGTACATTTAAATTAAATTTATTGTTGCATCTCTCATTCAGGGTTCAAACCAAAGGGAAGGGACTGGTACAGAGAGATGGTGAGAGGTACCTGGTAACAGAACAGGGAGTACGCCCACATATGCTGGAGTCATCATCCTCAGAATGGAATCTGAAAGCCCTGTCTGTCTAGTCCCTTGTGTGGTAATATCATCTACTCACAGGCTCCTGATATGAACCCAGAATAGCAGCCTTCCCTGCTGTTGCATCAAAAGCAGGACTGCTCTTCCCATAGATTCTAGTGATTTTTTTTAAGGAGTTGGGGAACAGTGGTGGGCAGAGGGAAGGGATGGTCTGCAGGATCATTTTCTGTCTGAAACAATCCTGAGAATGTAGTGTCAAACAACTAGCTCTGTGGAATATCTGAATAGCCAAAGTCCTATTTTAAGAAGTTCTTATTTGGAGGAAATTTCTATCAACCCTCTAAAACACTATTAAGAAATTCTATTAATGTTGTGGTAGTTTATACACTACATTAAAAGCAAGACCTTTCTTTAGACCTAAATCATAGGACTAAATGCTCGGTGTAGAAGCAATTTACTTCGAGTTCTCTACTTTTTAAATTTTTATAAGTGGAAAATTTATTCAGGGAACATATAAGTTAAGCTACACTGGTACTGTGGGTTTTATGTTTATCAAACATTCACCATGCACCCAAGAGTGCAGGGCTAAATAGTTCTGCTCATCTGGGGTAATGCCACAAGGATTTTGAAAAGAAGATTAAAAAATGCTGTGCCTATATTGTGTAAATGGGCATTTAGAAGACTTGATTTGCAGACATTTTCAAAAGGAGGTTTACCATGCTTCGTGCACAAATCTGCCTGAATTACTAGGTGCAGTGTCAACATTTTATGCACTAGGGAAATTGGTGCACCCTTTCTTATTACAAACAATCATCTTCTTATCTCCCTGGGTTTAAAAAATTTTTTTATTGATTTGAGAGAGAGAGAAACATTGATGAGAGAGAACATCAATTGGCCACTTCCTGCATGCCCCCCACTGGGGATCAGGCCCATAACCTGGGCATGTGCCCTGACCAGGAATCAAACCGGCAACCTCTTGGTGCCTGGGTCAATGCTCAATCCACTGAGCCACACTGGCTGGGCTTATCTCCCTGTTTTTTAATTCAAACTTTACTCACTGGGTGTTTTTATACACAGAGTATTATTCTTTCTTGCCGCATATTAAAAAGAAGAAATCTTCACAATAAAACTCCAAACAGGCTGTGTGCTTTATAAAACGTAATTATTTAGACTAGCATGAGCTCCCTGTTTTCATTCCTGCAGACCACACACTGGCTGGGATGAAAATGGAGAGGAGGCAAATCTATTGCACTCTTCCCAGTAATAAAAACAGACATGATGAAGTGAGATGGGTCTCATCCCTGGTGCCTGTGTCCCTCATCATGCTGGCCTGGGGGTCCAGTCTGGCATGCTGGCACACCCGACACCTCATGAATCAGAAGAGTCTTTTCTCATTCTTCTCTATCCCTACATGGAAGCACCTGGCCAGCTCTGCACTAGGGAGGCCTCTCTACAAAGGCTGGTGGACAGACAGCTTTCTGTAATTCCAAAGGCAACAGGGCTCAAAGTGGCCAAGCTTTCGGCTCCACAGTATAGGATCACAAAGCAGTGGAAAAGGCACGGGACTTGCAATCTCCACTTGCTGGCTCTGGACCTGACAAGTTGTTTTACCCTCCAAACCTCAATTGGAAAACGGTCCTAACAAGAACAGTTATCTTGCCCTGGCCGGTTTGCTCAGTGGTTAGAGCATCGGCCCGCAGACCAATGAGTCTCAGGTTCAATTCTGGTCAAGGGCACGTACCTTGGTTGCGGTTCATCCCTGGCCCTGGTCGGGGTCGTGTGAGAGGCAACCAGTCAATGTGTCTCTCTCACATCGATGTTTCTCTCTCTCTCCCGCCCACTCTATCTGAACAAAAATGGAAAAATATCCTCGGGTGAGGATTAAAAAAAAAAAGAACAGTTATCTCATAGGTTACTATGAGGATTAAACAAGACATACACCTATATGGCAATTACATAAAGCTGATTTACTAGGTATTCAAGAAATATCAGCAGGCATTACTATTATTCTTGTTGTTGTTATTACTACTTATTATTAAACCCTTCTTTGGGAGGAGATAGGCAGTTTGATCAGCAGATTCAAGGCTTCTGATTTTCAACTCATCTACGCACATCCTCCTTCTGTCCCGTCACGGATCCAGCCAGGGAAGGAGCCCTGTGAACTGGGCTCTTTGCCTCCATCCCCACTGCCGCCTGCCTGAGCAGCTCCCATGACTGCACGCCTGGACAGCTGCACCGAGAGACTTCCCTAGTCTCTTCCTCCTCTGTCCCCTGTCCTACAGACCAGGAGAGTAATGTGTCCAAGGTTACACAGCTTGTCAGCGATGGAGCTGAGATTTAAACCCTGAATCCCAGCTACTTAGAAAACAAAACACAAGAAAAAATGTCTCAAACTGATATTTTAAACCCTCTCTAGTCATATATAAACCCCCATCCTCTGCCTTCCCTCCCACTGCTTCCTCAGATTATCCTCAACCTCAGGCTGACTGCTCCATGGCGTTCTCCAAGCAGGACAGGTCATTTTGTCACACCGCTGCTCAGGCCATTTGCTCCTCCTGGCCTGCCCTCTCCTTGCCTATCCCACAGGGCACCCCAAACAGAACCCAGCTTTCTGGGCAGAATGCTCACAGGCTGCAATATTCTCATGACAGATCCCATTTTTCCTGGTCTCTGGCCACTAGGGAAGAACCCATATTTCCTCATTTCAATAAACATTCAGTGATGAGCAAGACTGGATGCCCACTGCAATCGGAGGTCGAAGGGAGCTGAATCTTAAATGGGTGTTGACTTCAAAAATGGGCTTTGAGGCTTCAGTAAAAGGCAACTCTGACTTGCCAACTAAACAAAGATATTCAAGTTAAAATCTCCACAAAGATTTTAACCCTCACAGCAATGGTAACAAACAGATAACAGAATCAAAAAATTTTAGAATCCAAGGAACCTTAGTGTGCATTTCAGGTAAACACTAAATTGTCTAGGTTGGGAAACGGAGACAGAGAGAGTAGTAGTGACTTGCAAAATCAAAATATGGTTGATGGCAGAGCCAAGCCTGGAACCCAAGCTTCCTGAATCCCATGTACCCAGGGACCCTTCGTCTACCCATTGACCTATTATTCCTCTACTATTACATGGGGAAAATAACAAGGCAAGAGAGAAAGAAACAAGCTTACAGCTTCTTCCAGGTGCTGCTGATCTGGATTATCATTTGGTGTGTGCCTCAGGATTTCTCGAAGAAGCAGAGGGTATTTTACCAGGCGGCTTCTTGGAATATCAAGGAAATTCCAGAGGTCTAGTTTGCGGCTAAAGGGGGATTCTAAACATCGCTGAAGGAAATCCTGGACTCGGTGATCTTGTTTTTTGTGGTCCAGCAGAGCTTTGGCGGCTACTTGATTGCTGCAGTAGCTATCGTAGGAGCTGAGACAAGGCAGCTAAGAAAGGAAGATCAGAAGAGGGTTGGAATGTTAAAATAACTGAAGCGACAAACTAACATCACTTGTTGGGACTGAACGAAACCTAACTGATCTCCAGACCTGGCCAACATTCCTTTTTCTGCAAGACCAATTGCATCTTCAAAATGGCAGGTAAGCTCTGGCCGTTTTGGCTCAGAGGTTAGAGCTTCGGCCCGTGTACCAGAGAGTCCTGGGTTCAGTTCCTGTTAAGGGCATGTACCTCGGTTGCAGTTTGTCCCCAGCCCTGGTTGGGTCATGTGGGTGGCAACAACTCAATGTGTCTCTCTTACATCGATGTTTCTCTCTCTCACTTCCTCCTCTCTCCCTCCCACTCTATCTGAAGATAAATGCCAAAAAAAAAAAAAAAAAAAAAAGTGTCCTCTGGTGAGGATGAGAAATAAAAAAAAATAAATAAAAATGGCAGGTAATGGACAGTTTTTTTAGGTTCTGGTTTGTTGCATGAAGTAATTGTCTTAGTTGCATGTTTCCTTTCTTGATTGTTAAGACCCCTATCCTAATTAGTTTGCATTTCTGCCAATCTAAGCTAGAAACAAAAGAACTAAAATTTTTGCACATGCATAGTTTATAATTTCCCTAAACTTTGAAAAGTATCTGGTATGGGGAAAGCCTATTAAAATATTTTCTTTTAAAATTATTCATAAGAAACGTTATCTAGAAGACTTAGTGGCATAAAAAGAAAAGCAAGGAGTCGGACTTCGTAACCAGCCCTTGGCACGGCTCGGTGCAAGCACTCTGCTTTAGCTTAAGGTTAACAGATTCCAAGGCGGGCCAATTATAAACAACTCCAAGAAGTTAAAGCAAAGTGTAATTAGTAAAATATTAGAAACAAGAAGCATTTAGTAAAATATTTTAAATTAGTTCTTACAGGCCAGAAATCATTCTTTTTTTTTTTTTTTTTTTTATCCTCACCCGAGGATGTTTTTTCCACTTTGTGTACAGATAGAGTGGGAGGGAGAGAGAGGAAGAGAGAGAGAGGGAAACATCGATGTGAAAGGGACACATCGAGTGGCTGCCACCCACACGACCAACCAGGGCCGGGGACAAACTGCAACCGAGGTATGTGCCCTTAGCGGGAACCGAACCTGGGTCTCTCCGGACCGCAGGTGGATGCTCCAACCACTGAGCCAAACTGGCCAGGGCCAGAAATCATTCTTGACTCTACCCAATGATTACCATCACAATACCATGCAAAGAACAATTTCAGTGTAAAGACTCTGGAACACTTCAACTCTATTATCTTCTTCCGGAAAAATACTAATTTCTTCGATGTGTCCCATCAGTCCAATCATGCAAACATGGAGTCAGAGACTCAGAGAAAGGACTGCTCATCTTCCTTTTCCACTCCTCCCCCAAAGTGGCACCCTAGACCATGCATCTTAATGCACAGGCTGTCAGCCTCCAGAAAGTTCCCAGAGGCAATAAAATGCAGCCAAAGGCCTTCTGTGTGCTTCTTTCCCTCAGATTACGAAGCCATGTCCACCACGACACCGGCTCTGCAGAGGAATTTAGTGTAAGACAGTGGCAACAGGGTCTTTCATTTCTGCACCCTTAGTACTTTGCACTGGGCCTACTAGATAGGAAAGTTTGTTTTCTTAATAAACAAATAAATAAATGTTTAATGGATTTCCAGATTAGATAGAAACATTAGTTTGAAAACATAGCTTAAAAATATATTGTGGCAACATCTGAACAGTGGGTCAAAGTTTAAATATTCTGCTACTTCTTTTACACCTCTTACTGAAATTATTTTCTCAGTGATTGAAACCAAAACAAGATGCCTAGGCAGTAATGTCTTAAAAGTTCACTGTTGAGTTTAACATTCCTTGGAAATGTCTACCTTCCTTACATGTTATGAAAAATCTTTATTTGTGTTTAAAAAAGAGCTGCAGAAATTCTTTCCTTGACCTTGTATTTTAAAGTAATGGTAATTGGTGCATATGTACACACACACACACACACACACACACACACACACCCAGATGTGGTATTGTGGCTTGTAATTTAGATTTTCAGAGTTAATTAAAAGGAGCCTCAGGCCCTCTCAACTTCATTTCCACTTCCTCGCCTTTTAAAGAGACTTGAAAATGCCCAATGTTTTCATTATAGAGAAACAAATCATCAGTAACCATCGGATGTAAACTGCTGAGGAACCCCCAAAGACTCTGCTGCTCGCTGTCCAATGAGTCATTACTCTCTGTGATCCTGGTGCCCCTGCTGCCATGGCAACCAAATCCGGCTCTGGTCCTGCGTTCACACCTGACAGGGTGCTCATTTCCTGGGCATGACCTGAAAGGCTCTCTGGTTCAGTCCACTGACTACAAAAGGCCACAAGTTATCTATTGCTAGACAGGAAATGAAGAATGGCCACATCTTGGTTCCTAACTACATACACATGTACTTATGTGAAATGTGAGAGGCAACAGATAACGTAGTGGTTAAGAGGACAGACTCTGGAACCAGGGAGAATCATGTTTAAAGCCTAACTCAGACAGTTACTAGTCAGGTGACCCTTCTGAGCCTTACTTTCTCCACTTACAAAATGCACATACTAATGTCCTCAATCCTTTAATGAAATAAGGCAGATACAAAGTGTAGCACAAGCTTGGCTCCTGGCTAAGAATCAGTAAGTACTGGCTGCTATTATCATTATTATTATTATTATTATTTATCCCTAGAATATTTTTATTGAAGAAACTGTGGTTTGGAGAAGCAAGACTACTTGATTAGCTGCAGATAAAACCTGAAATGTGTTCTCTCCCTATCCCACCCCCAAAACTCTGAACACACCATCTCTTTAAATAGACTATCAAGAAAGAATTTATAAGGGAAACTCTCATTTTTTCAAAAAAGAAATTCTATCGCCCTAACATCGTGAAAAGCGACAGAACAAATCTATATTTTTTGCTTCCATATACCCTGCCTCTCTCTTTGGAATTAAAATTTAATTAGAACCTAAATTAACATGAGAACTTGCTGCCTTGAAGAGCTTATGAATTATTTTATTACTGAAAAAATGTCAGCATGAAGATTAGTCACTGGGGAAGTTGTTCCTTTATGACAGGCGAGGCTTGTGAGAGCAGGATGACCCATCAGGGAGACTGGTACTCAGTAACCAGGATAGTGCCCTGAAAAAAACCCAAAAACCCCAAACACCCACCACTCTGTATAAGGTCTTCAAAGTAAAAGTACTTGATTCATTCTAAGGTCAAAAGGATTGGCCAGGGCTAACCCACTTGGGAGACTCACTTGTTTAAAAGGGTTTTGTTTGTTTGTTTTTTTCACTTTTTCCTTTAGGGGGAAATAAATCAATTTTTCATGGGTCAAATGGGCTCTGACTTTTCTCATTTAAAGTCCACTAAGATGTTTATTTTGTTCTGTTAAAAAGACCAGAACTCAAACAGATGTACCCCTTGGTTTATAGTTCCCACTCGCAAGGACACATCTGCAGTTAAAAGAGGGAAAACATTTAACATCTAGTCAGCCTGATAAATAAGGACCATTTCTCATGAGGCCTGGCAACAATGAGCCAGTTGTTTAATTTTAGGTTGCTCCTCAACCTGCAAGTCCCCGTGTCATGTCTGAAGGACCCAGATAGCTGGCATGGTCTCACTTCCTTTGGCTATGTACTGCAAAAGGACTGCAAAAGCTACAAGATCAAGCCAATTTTCTAATAAAAATAACAAACATTTCCTTCAGAAAAAAATTAATAACAATGCAAATGCCTATACATTTGCTTCTGGTATAAACCGACAATTTGTACACTGTGTCTAAGGAAACCATGTCGCTCTATATTGCCATCTCATCAGAAACAGAGCAGCCACCATGGTAAGTCTGGAGTGTGGTCTCACTAGTCCCTTTGCTCCCATCAAAGCAATCCACAGACTCAGAAATTTAAGCATAGTGAGGCAAACCCTCTCTTCTCATTGTACCTTCTCTGTCTCCAGCTGTCTGGCTCTCTTTAGAGAAATTTCTTTGTGGGCTAAAGAAGTTAAAACATCTACCATGGCTTATAATAAAATGGAAGTCAAAAATATAAGATGAATGACCTCTCCTGAAATATTAAAGCACATTTTCTAAATTATTCATCTTAGAACATGACTTGCCTTTCATGTACCCTTGGGATATTTCAGCCTCAGGGCTAAAATGGGCTCCTGAACGAAAGCTAGCTAAGTCATGAGACCCTAAGTTTCTGGATCAAGGCAGTAATTGAGGAGCATAAGTTAGGAACTAGAAGGTTTTAGGAAGGTTCAAATACAAATTGAACTGGATAGAGAGAACTCCCACGGTGAGAGTAAAATTCATAATCTTCATAACACTCTCCAAACAGTGGAAAAACTATAACACTTGCTGTTGTGGCACCATCTGCTTGTTTTTCTAGATCACTATGTGGGTCAGAAGGAAGAGAGAACTAACCTTGTGTGGAAGAAGTCATCAAAGTAATCTGCTTTCATTACTTGCTTCCTAACCAATGGAAAACAGCTGGAACTAGGGAAGCCCACGCAAGCATTCACAGACGGAAACAGAAGCATACCATAGGAATGATGGGGACTGGGGCAAAATAGAGAGTACATGCCTGGTCAAAAATAAATCAAATGAGCAACTACCTTATGTACCCAATAAAACACAAATTCATCTCAGAACCATAAATTTAGAACCCCTAATCTAAGGTCCCAGCTGATTTAATTAGGAAAGGAAGGGGGTTATATTGGGATGAAAGTCAGCATAATACCCAGGCTCTCCTATGAAGTTGCTAAATATTAACAACATTTAGTTATCACCTTGTTTATGAAACTACATTTGACCATAAGAGTTTTATGACAGCCTGAATAAAATATTTTTTATGACACTGGCCAGTGTGGCTCAGTTGGTTGAGTATCGTCCCATGAACTGAAAAGTCCCAGGTATGCTTCTCAGTCAGGGCATGTGCCCAGATTGTGGGTTCAATCCCTGGTCGGGTGTGTACAGGAGGCAACCAATCGATGTTCCTCTCACACACCAATGTTTCTCCTCTCCTTTCCTCTCTTTCTCTTAAAAAATAAAAACATATTTAAAAAAATCTTTAAAAGCTTTTTTTATGGTAATAGACAGAAATATGTACCTAAATTTTTACTGGATTATATTAGTAATTGGCCTGAATTGAACATTAACTAATGTGACTTCATTTTATTGCAAAAGGGTATGTTATCTTTAAAGTATTTTTTTTAATCCTCACCTGAGGACGTTTTTTTTTGCATTTATCTTCAGATAGAGCGGGAGGGAGAGAGAGAGAGAAACATTGACGTGAGAGAGACACATCAACTGCCACACACACAACCCCAACCAGGGCCGGGGACAAATTGCAAGCGAGATACGAGCTCTTAGCGGGAACCGAACCTGGGATTCTCTGGTCCTTGGGCCCACGCTCTAACCACTGAGCCAAACCGGCCAGGGCAGTATTTATCTTTAAATGCAGTACATTTATAATAAGAAAAAAATTGTTTTCCTGTTTTGAAGAGATATAGCCTAACTATGATGATAACTTTTGCTAGTAATTTGCTTTTTTTTTTTTTTTTTTCCTGGTATGAAACCAGTGTTTGCTAAAAAAAAGAAAAAAAAAAAAATTCTACCTAAAATGAAACTCCATTTAAATCATTGAAATTTATCACCAGTCAAGACCAGAGAACTTTTCTTACCCAGCCCACGAGGATGGGACCGACGTGTTCAGTTGAGCCATCAGGCTTCCGAACATCTCGAAGCTGACTCAGGAGCTCTGGTAAACAAACAACATTTATTTTGTTAGGCATTCAAATACGAACAAGGCTGGATGTAGATTCTGAGTTACTAACATTATTACATAATCATGTCTTATACAAGTCATGATTATGTAATAATCATGACTTGTATAAGACAAGTCAATTAAGGCTGCAAGTCACAACTCATTCTGGGAACAAAATTATACCTTCATGTAGAGGAATTAGAGAGTCCAGTGTTCCAAAAATTTGATTCAACTCCTGTTCTGTCATTATGGAGAGTTTCAGCATGGGGTCATGATAAGCCTGCACAAGAACCACAAGAGATGGAAGCAAACATTTAAAACCAGAAGTAAGTTGTTAATGTAAATGGCTTCTGAGAGGCCCTAAAGAATAACAAAATATTTGGCTCTGCCCAACCACTTCTCCCATAATGCTGCAGCAGATGGGTGTGGCTGGAGCAGATGGGACTCCACCATTGCCTTGAGCCTTTTGTGGTTGTTAATAAACCAGAGTAAATTTTTACGGAGCTTTTTTTATTCTAGTATATCATAGATCTAGGAAAGGGCACAAATCCTAAGTATAGAGAAGATTTGATTTGTATGTTTTAAAAATTAACTTTATTACCACCTCTTATTAATGATAATTACACAACAGGAGCAATTATTCCCAGGGCACTGTAATAGAATACAGACTCAAATGGCACAGTTCCTGCCTTCAAGGAGATTTATAAAGATGGTTAGGAAGATAAGAAAACACAGGGGAATTTAAATATATGTTGAAAAAATAGTTCAAGATTAAAAATACGGGTCATGTCACATGGCAGCAAAAATTTATCAAATCATAACTGTTCTAGAGGGTCCGGGAATTAAAGTTGGAGTGGTCGAGGGAGATTTTTAAGACCAGCACAGAGAAGGAGGCAGTAAATATTGTTGAAGAATAACTGAGATTTGAGCTTGTTCCTAGAGGATGAGTAGACATGGATGGCTGAAAGAAAAGGGAAGGGTTTCCAGGAACATAGGACATCATAAGCAAAAGGATGGCAGTGAAACATCTTAAGGCACTTGGGTTTTGGAAATCTTTTTTTTTTTTTTTTTAATCCTCACCCGAGGATATTTTTCCATTTTTTGTACAGATAGAGTGGGAGGGAGAGAGAGTGAGAAACATCGACCTGAAGGGACACATCGAGTGGTTGCCACCTGCATGACCAACCAGGGCCGGGGACAAACTGCAACCGAAGTACGTGCCCTTAGCAGGAACCGAACCCGGGTCTCTCCGGACCGCAGGCCGACGCTCTAACCGCTGAGCCAAACTGGCCAGGGCAGGAAATCTTTTTTTTTTTAATCTTTATTGTTGAAAGTATTACAGATTCCCTCCCCCCCCCCCCCCCCCCCCCCCCGCTTTCCCCTCATTGAATTTGGTAAATCTTGATGCAGGATGGAGGAGTTGCACCTATGACCTATGACCAGCAAGATGTCTCCTAGAGTTAAATATCCTCCCCATCTTCCTCCTCTTTCCATCCTGCCTAGAACTTAGTTTCTGACCACCTCTCAGGAAGGTTCAGATGGGAGTTCATATGAGCAGAAAATTAGACTAAAGGACACTTCGAAGAAGGGAGGCATCTTTCTAACCCTGTGATTCTTTGAGGAGGCTGTATCTCAGAAGAAGTCTAGATTTTAGCCTCCAAGGGTGGGGGAGTCAGGAGTTGCTGGAAGGGATAGATGTTTGAGGAAGGTTTGTTGTCAAGACTAAAGAGGCTACAAAACATGGGTTTCATCTACCTTCCCACAAGGTAGTTAAAAATTAATTTCCATATTAAAGCCCCTCACTTACATGATAGTATGCAATTGACGCAACCATTTTATCAACTTATGAAATTCAAATGACTATTTCTAAGACACAGTTCCAGTTTCAGGCCATCTATACATTTTCTCCCATGGATAAGGAAACTTCTAGAACAACAAAACATACGTAAAGCTAGGCCTCCACCAGCACTTTCTGATTAAACTGAAGTATTCTTTGAGGTGCATCAGAAACATGCAGAGGACTCCTAAAGGTGCCACATCCAGAGAGCCTTCTTCTTTTGAGCCATTTTCTCACTGCTTGGTTTGTGCAGGTTATTCTCAATTTTGGATGACCCCGTCATAAAAACAGTGCTCATAAAGCACAATCATAGAATTGTGAAATTACTTAGAGGAAAAAAAAAAAGAAGTGATTCCCATGACCATTAGATTGAAATTTACCTTTTTCGCCAATTTCAAGTCCTCTATCAAGTCTTCTTCTCCTTGGGAAAGTTCAAAGATCGCCTGCAAGAAAAGATAAAACACATCCGCTGAAATCTTTCATTTATGAGACCAAATGCAAACAGTGCCGGTTCCAGAACTCACAGCTCCAAATCTACTTACTTATTAAGTATTTTTAAAGAATTCTTAAAAAGTTAAATTAACCTGCAGCAAATGCATCTAGTGGCTAAAACCTACAAGGAACAATTTTGCAAAACGTCTGAATAATGTGCGTATCTGTTTGTGGGATAAAGAGGTTCCATATATGTTTCCAATCCAACAAGTCATCTTTCATGTTATAGAACTTTGATGCAGCCAAACAAGAGGAAACTATTTTAGGTAAAATAAATCCGTGAGCCAAGGATATGAGTTTGTTGTGAGTGGCAATCATAGTAAATGATTCAGGGTCTGTTCTCAGTAATGGACATGGCAGTATTATTAATTGGGCCTTCCTTCTACTCAACATAAGGTGAATCTCAACAGAATATTTTATTCCTCTCAGCCACTTGTCCTGAGGCTGAAATTTTAGGAAGAATCTAATACTTTTATCACTCTAAATGTCTGGTGAAATTAATTCATTCTAAATTACTTCACAGCCCTACATAGCACAATAAATAAAATTATAGGAGCCAGTTATGTGCAAGAGTGTGTACAGAGACCATTTCTAATTTGGCTCTATTAAGGTATCAGCATTTAAAAGCTATGGTGTGCAGAACACTCTTTCACTCCTCTGGGAGTCTAAATTGTGGCAAATATTACATTATTAAAAGACTATGTGGTGCTAGTTTGAGGACTACTACATTTCTCTTAGACTACAGGGAAGAAGTGAGCAGGGTGGAGAACACCCTCCATTTTTGGGTCGGTGGAGTGCGGGACACCAAGTGTGCTCTCAGCAAACAGGTGGAGGCAGAATACTCGCTGGGGGACAGTCCATGGTGTCCCTCCCAAGGCCCAGTAAGGCCATGATGCCATGCCCTCCTGATACTTTATTTTGTTTAACCTTTTATTTTGAAATAATTATAGACTCATATGGGAAGTTAAGACAATAATACAGAGAGGTCCTGTACATGGAATACTCAGCTTCCCCCAATGGTGGCATCTTACATAACCATAGAGCATTATCAAAACCAGGAAATGGACTGGCACAACATAATTAACTAGCTTGTACTTGGACTGTTCTCAGATTTCCTTGTACATTTGTTTTGCTAGAGCTCACGTACATAGGCCTGATTGTCTGACTGACCACATGTGACCCCCAGAAGAGGAAAATCACAGAACTCCACATTGGGATTTGCACACTGTGGTGGGGCAACACAGTGTCACTGTGAAGACCAAGGGCTTTGGAGTAGGACAGGACCTGGATTCAAAAGCTGGCTCGGTAACTTTCTAGGTGGGTGACCTTGTGCTCATTGTGCCTTGTTATTTTCCTCACCTGAAGGTTGCACAAGTAATATATACACACTATTAATACTTGGAAAACATAGAAAAGTATAAAGAGGAAACATTTTGAATGCTCATAATACCATTATTAAGGTTTTCCCATATTTCCTCACAAGATATTTTCAGTGCAAATAAATGCTTTATTTATTCTTTTTTTTTTTTAATTAATCCTCATGGGAGGATATTTTTTCCATTGAGTTTTAGAGAGAGACTGAAAGGGAGGGAGGGAGGAAGAGAGAGAGAGAGAGGGAGGGAGGGAGGAGGAGGAAGGGAGAGGGAGAGGGAGAGAGAAACATTGATGTGAGAGACACACATTAATTGGTTGCCTCCTGTACAACCCTGATTGGGGCTGGGGATCAAACCTGCAACCCAGGTATGTGCCCTTGACAAGGAATCAAGCCCTTGACCCTTCTGTACACTGGTTGACACTCAAACCACTGAACACACCGGCCGGGGCTATTTGTTCTTTTTTAATAGATAATACATTGACATGGTTCAAAATTTACAGTGGCACAAATTCACAGTTAGTGAAAATTTTCCCTCTCACTTCCTTCCAACCACCCAGTTCTCCTCTGAGGAGGCAATGTTACCAGTTCCTGTGTGTCCTTAAAGAAATGTTTATGGTTTTATAAGCAAATATATACATATACACACATACATTCATTTTTTCTTCTTCTTTTATATAAATGGTAGCATACTCTACACCCTATTTTGTGCCTTGCTTTATCCACTTAGCCATTCAATACATATCAACACTTTCTATGTGTTTCTACAGCTATACAGTATTCCATGTATGGACATTCATTATTTAACCAGTCCCTGGTAATAGATCTTCAGGGTCTTTCTGCACTATTATAAACATACAGTGATGAATAAGCTTACATATACATCTTTTTATCTGTGTATAAGTGCACCTGGCAGATAAATTCCTAGAAAAGAACTGCTGAGTCAAAACCCAGAAAGTGTTCAAGTACTCCCTTTTCCAATGTCAAGTTCTCTTCAGAAATAGAAATTCCAAGGATTTCACTAGATGATATACATTTGAAGAGCTTAGCACAGCCTGGCACATGACGAACTCTCTATAAAGGGTAATGTGATCATAGCATTTAGGGCTAATGAAAACTTATAGGGAATAAAATTAACTGCATTTCCTGCAAAACTGAATCAAAGTTTCATTAACTGGATATTTTAAAATATTCTAGAAGTTGCTATCAAAATACAACTAAATGATTATGATTATTTTTGTCAATTCCTGGATCTGAAATAGACATTTCCCAATTCTTTGTAAATTCAGATTTTCACATCAGTTTCTTTTTAAAGCAGGGACCACACCCACCCAGCTGAATGCTGGTTCCTCAGTTCCTTAAAAGTCTGACACCCCCATTGGTCCTTCTACAAATGCCATAGAGAACTGATTTGGGGGTGGGTGTAGACCACACTTTGGCTCTTGCCTGCAGTGCGCCTGCCTCCAGACACATGGCCAACTCTGTGGGTCCCAAGCCTACCTCCTGACGTTTGATTTCCTTGGACGGAAGCATCTGATTGACGCACACATCGAAGGTCTCACTCCACAGCTTGCTGTCTCGTCGTTTGGTGCTCGAGGGAGCGGCATTTCTGGTCCAGGGCCGGGGGGTGAGGATGTCAGGACGGCTCTCGCTGCGGAAGCTAATGGAACGCTGAACAATAAGAAAAAGAAACCGTCACGGGGGCAGTAGCAGGACTGGGTGGATCGTTTGAGCAGCTTCCTGTCCCTGACAGAACATAAATCAGACATCTGCAAGAAAGAGAGGACAATGTCACAAGTCCTTTTGGGAAGAAGGGCATTGTCTTGGGCCTACGTGCTAAGGAAAACTGGGCAAGGGGCTGCTTTCGCACTTGTGCTGGGAGGATCCACGACCTGGATAAAGCACAGCAACATGCACAAAGGGCTCTACTTTTTTCCGTTAAAAATCCACACCTCAGAAGAACAATGATTAACAGTAGATGTCCTTAAAACAAATTCTGGCCGGTGCTCCCACTCTCCTCCTTCTAGGAACAGAATCCCACTATCTTTGGTATCCTGTCTCACTAACTTTGGTCGGGCTCCCCAGACCTGACCAATCAGAGTACTCCTCCACCCTGGTTCTGGGAAGGGCATAGATCCCTTGAAATTTGTTACATGAATCATAGGAGAAAAAGTGAAAGACTATTCTTTTGGGATTGTGAGCTCAAGGGTTAACATAAGCTGAAGTTTCTTGCAGTAACTCTTTCTGGTCACAAAAAAAGAGTCTGTGTGATATAGGACAGAATAAAGGGACACACAGAATGAAGCATGGAGAGAGACACCAGTAGAGGGACAGAAGGTCCCTCTATTAGAGTCCCTGGATCCCACTGTGCTTGAAGCTAGGAACAGCCACTCTTAGATTAAGGGGCTAATACCTTTCCCTTTCTGTTTACATTCATCTCAGTTGAGGTTCTGTCAACTTAAAAGTACCAACTAATATACATACTAAATATCAAGCAAATGATGCCTGTCCCTAACTTATTTTCTTATTTTCCAAAGAGGTCCCAGTAGATATTGGGGTGGTCTAACTACCCAAGGTGCACCCTTGTCACTGAAACATGCTACCATACTGCTTTCTCCTGACAAACACAAATGATAAAGAAGAAAATTGTGAGCATCATATTCAGCCTTCAGCCTGGAAGATTTCAACACACTTATTGGAAACTTTGCTAAAGCAATGAGGCGTTGCTGTGCTAAAAAACCACATTCTTATTCAGCAAGTGCTCCCTGCCATGGCAGTGGCCACAGGTCTGTAGCCTTCAGTGTGAAGTTCCAACTCTTCAGTTTGGCACAGAATGCCTCTTGTAATCTGACCACAGTATGTGTATGTACATGTATATGTATGTATGTATGTATGTATGTATGTATGTATGTGTGTGTGTCTGGTATTGCCTCCTGCCACTCACCCATTCTCTAGCCCTGGGAGGGTATTGCTAGCCCTACCAGGCTATCTGCCATTCCCTGAATGCATCATGCTTTGCCATCTGCTGTGCTTCCTTCAAGAAATCTTCTCTTCCTAGAAAGCTTTTCTTTTCACTTCATAGCTGGTTAACTCCCAACTGTCCTCAGGATATAACTCAAACACCTCCTCTAGGATGGTTTTACCCATGTTCTCCCATCCTCTCCCAGAGCAATTTGGACATACAACTGATATAGTAACAATCACATTTTATTATACTTCGTGGTCACCTGCTCTGAACTATAAACTTCCTAAGGGCAGGAACTGATTTTGCATGCAACATACGTTCCATCATCACTAAGACATTATGAGGTAGCTTCCAAATATTTTGAGATTCAACAATAAAATTTATAAAAGTAAAGAAAATTTAAGAGAACTACTAACATAAGGGCATTGTTGAATAAGTTATAATTTGTCTACTTGATGGAATATTATCTAGCCATTAAGACAATTCTGAGATAATTTTAACAGCTAAAAAATCCCTTCTATGTAAAATCAAGATTAAAATCTGTATATGGACACTGTTTATAATTATGGAAAATGTACATGAGTAGAGACATAAAGGGGGCGCCACGCAATTCTATGGTTTTTGCCTGATTACATTATAGGTGATTTTTATTCTAGTTTACACATTTTTATAATTCAAGAAAAATGAATAAACGAAAAATACAAAAAGAAACTTCCAAGGGGCATCAGGGTATTGCCAGCAGGAAGCCAGCTCTGTTTGCAAGTAGCAACGCAGCTCCTCAGGCTGGCACAGGCATCTGTGAGTGGCTGGGCTCATTAATGAGCTCATGTTTGCTAGACCAGCCCTGGGCCAGTCAAGAAAGTACTTGCTCCAAATACGCAGTTCACTAATGGTATCTCACAAATCCTTGAGATCTCTTGAAAACAGGCCCTTATAAAACAGGGACCAGACTAATGCTTGCAGATCCCCAGCACTCAGAATCAATTAGCCACAGGCACGGAAAGGTCAAAACAAGCCAAGTGAGTCATCGAATAACTCACTCATCTCAGTCAGTGGTTCTGATGCCAGCCTGGGGGGATGGGGGAGTTAAAGAGCAGAAAGAGAGGAACACACAAAAAAAGATTCAAAACGAAAGACATTTTCCACTTTCACTTGAGAAAATCAACCTCCCACCTGTTTGTTTCAGTGCCTGACCAACTTCCAACTCCCTCCTCCCTACCACCATAAAGTTAGTAATTTATGCTAACTTTACATTTTCATACATTAAAAAAGTATATAAAATTAAGTACAAATCCCCTCATTTTTTCAAGTCCACTTCCCAGAAGTAAATGCTATTAAGTTTGTTCTAGATCTTGCAAACCTTTTCTACGCATTTGCTAACATTCACAAAAAACAGAATGTTTTCTTTTCATTTAACAATATGTCTTTCCATGTTAGTATATAAGACTCATGCTTTAGCCCTGGCCGGTTTGGCTCAGCGGTTGGAGCGTCAGCCTGCGGTCTGGAGAGACCCGAGTTCGGTTCCCGCTAGGGGCATGTACCTCGGCTGCAGTTTGTCCCCGGCCCTGGTTGGGTCGTGCAGGTGGCAACCACTTGATGTGTCCCTTTCACGTTGATGTTTCTCTCTCCCTCTCCCTCTCCCTCTATCTGAACAGAATATCAAAAAAAGTGTCCTCGGGTGAGGATAAAAAAAAAAAAAATAAGACTCATGCTTTAAAAAATAATTTATTGAGGTGAAATTTCACATATCATAAAAGTAACCAATTTTCAAGTGAACAATTCAGTGGCCTTTAGTACATTTACAATATTGTACAACCACCACCTTTACTTAGTTCCAAAACATTTATTACCCAAAGTCACTCATTCTTTTTTTCCCCTCATCCAAGGGTATGTTTATTGATTTTAGAGAGAAAGAAAGAGATGGGTGGAAGAAGAGAGAGAAACAGTGATGTGAGAAACAACGAACAATGATTGTCTGCCTCCCTTATGCGCCTGACCAGGAATAGAACCTGCAATCTAAGTATATGCCCTGCCCGGGAACTGAACCTGCAACCTTTTTGATATACAGGATGTCACTCCAACCAACCGAGCCACTCGGCCAGGGCTCACTCATTCTTTTAATGGCTGCACAGTTAGTATCCCATGTGTGGATGGATCACGTGGATTCAAACAAACTCTAACCGATGGACATTAAAATCGTTTCCAGTGTCTGGGTATTACAAAAGGTGCCTCAGTGAACATCCTTTATGTATCTGTGCAGGCACTTCTGTAAGGCAGATTTCTTAAGTAGAATTCCTTGTCTAAGAAAATCAACATTTTAACATTTGATATGTACTGCCCAACTGACCTCTAAAAAGTCTGTTCCCAGAAAGGTATATGACATGACAGTATGCCTTTTCCAGACTCTCAACAATAATATATTATATAGAAAAAACAACTATATATCCTAAATTAGTTTCATGTTTTGAAGATAAGATGGAGCATATTTTTATGTATTTCTCAGAGAACTGGAGATTTCCTCTGCTGCAGTCTGAGTAAATAACGAGATGTGAGCTATACTAGGTGAGCTCTATTGCTAAGAATTCCTCCTTTTGTGCTTCCTTAGTGATTGCAGGGCTTGGATACTAAGGTGGAAGGGATGGGACAAAGTTCATCATATGTTACAGAGGGGCCATTATGTGCCTCCCAAGCTTAGCACTTCTGATGAGTTCTCTCTGACCCTCACCAGCCACCCTGCAAGGTGGGAGTTTATTCCCATTTTATAAGGAAACTGAAGCTCAGGGAGGCTAAGGCACTTGCCCAGGCAGGATTCAAAACCAAAGATCTGTTTGGATCCAAAACCTCAGCTTTTCCTACTATGGGGGCTGTCCCTGCTGTTTACATGCATTGTGGGGAGGTCTCAGTGAGATGGGACCCCGCCTTCGAGGAGTTTAAATCTAGTTAAGGAAAGGGAATGCATTTGCTCATTTGTTGTAGGAATAATGACTAAGTGGCACTTTGACCAATCAAACTTCAGATTCACACCTTTAGTTAGGCTGGATTAAAACAAACATTTTTTTTTTTTTTATCTTCACCTGAGGACATTTTTCCACTTTTTGTTCAGACAGAGTGGGAGGGAGGGAGAGAAAGAGAGAGAGAGAGAGAGAGAGAGAGAGAGAGAGAGAGAGAGAGAAACATCAACATGAAGGATACACATCGAGTGGCTGCCACCCGCATGACCAAACCAGGGCAGGGGACAAATTGCAACCAAGGCACCTGCCCTAAACGGGAACCAAACCCGGGTCTCTCTGGACCGCAGGCCAATGCTCTAACCGCTGAGCCAAACCGGCCAGGGCAAACATTTTGTTTTTTTAAACTCCACTTAGAAAGGGGAAGAATCCCAAAGAAGCAATAAAGAACGCTGGTCAGGTGTGTGGTGAGTAGCTGGCTGGCCCTTGAGACAGCTTACAGCTAACTGCCCAAGCCATGGGTGGGTGTTTGTGACACCATTGACCACACATCACAACCTATACACCCCTAACAATCACTAATACAACTGAGCACAATTAGATAAGAGGACTGAAATTGGGGAGGAGCATGTGACTACTGCTAGAGAAAAGCCACGCTCCTTCGCTCCTTAGGTGCCCCTGACACTGCCCATTCCCCTCTCCCCATGCTATGTTGTGAATCCTAACCTGAGGATGTTTTTCCATTGATTTTAGATAGG